CCCCCCTCACTCAACTCTCCAACCCGGTGCCAAGACCCACCATGGCCAACGTCAACCCCAAGAGAGCGTCTCCGTTCTTACCGAAGAGCATCAAAGAGGAGGAGGAGGATGAAGGTGGAGAGATGATGAAGGAGGAGGAACCATCGCTCCCTCTCGTCCCGCAGCCGGTACAAGGTACGTACCCACCCAAAACATCCACCATCTTGATGTTTCCAACCCCCAAACGTCACCGAGATCCTAAAAAAACATCAAAATTAACATTTTTAAGCTTATTTTGCGTCACATTTTGTCTCCGCAGAGGAAATCTCGATGGTTTTCAACACCTACAACACGGCCACCACCAACCTCACGCCGTCGCTCAAGAGGAAGAAAGGTGTTGGCCAAGAAGGGATGAACATGACGTTCTACATCGACCGCCGGAAATCCAAAGTGTGGAATTATTACACCAAATTGGGCGACGCTTACGTGGAGTGTAACATCTGTAAGAAGCAACTTTCCTTCCACAACAGCACCACCACCATGAGGGAACACCTGGTGAGGAAACACAGCATGAGGAACACTCTCCTCTCTCAACTCAAAGACGATCAACTTACCGAATCCGATTACCCCGCCCAAGAAAGCGTCGCCAAACGGTGCCGGCAAACGACGCCGGAGAGCGGGTTTAACCACGGAGCGTCCTGCTCGGAACCACGGAACGATGTGATGGTGGAGTTGGTGTTGGAGATGATTTTCCGTGACTTGCAGCCTCTTTCTGTGGTGAAAGATAAAGGATTTGGGCTCCTCGTTGGGTTCTTGGAACCGGGTTTTGCTCTCCCGTCGCCGGCGCAGCTCGCCGGGAAGTTACGGCAGAGATATAACGTGGTGAAGCAACACCTAGAACGTTATTTACAGACGGCTCAAAGCATGGTGGTTTGTGTTGAGTTCTGGATATCTCAACTTGGTTGGACTTACCGGACAGTGACGGCCAATTTCATCGACGAGGAGTGGCGGCGGGCGCGGTGCGGCCTGGAGACGCGGCAGGCGGATGGAGACGAGGCAGATTTTGGGGAGAAACTCCACAACATCCTCTCTGAATTTGGGTTATCTGGTAAAGCTGTCTCCTGTGTCATGCACAACACGCCGGGGAGCGCGGCGGAGAGCCGGTGGCACTTGGAGAAGACACCAAATTGGAGCAGCTTGTGCTGCGCCGCTCGTACCCTTCACCTCTGCATCCAAACGGGGCTGGAGGTGGAACAGGTCCAAGAAGCTCTGAGCATCGCTCGGGGAATCGTCAGGTTCTTCCAGCAAGATGCAAAAGCCACCTGCTCCTTAAACAGCAAACTGGAAGCCATCAATAAAACCAAGCTGAAACTAGTGGTGGATGTGGTGTCTCGTTGGGTCACCACCATGGAGATGTGTGAGAACCTCCTGGATTTGAAGTGGGCCATCATGTCCGTGCTGGAGGAACACCCCAAGGGTGTGTTGGTTGTTCAGAACTTGGCTGATCACCAGTGGAAGCTCCTGCAGGACTTGGTGCTGGTTATGAGGACGATTAAAATCGCCACGTCCTTCCTTGGTGAGGAGCAGAACGTTTCCATCTCCTCCCTGATGCCTTGTGTCCATGGAATCATCTCCACCATCGGACAGCAGGCGGAAGAAGTTGGCGCCGCCATCAAGATGGTCATCGGCAACATCAGGTCGGAGCTGACGCGACGCTGGGGTTTGGCAGAGGAGGAGAAGGTGCTAGAAAACCCCGCGGTCATCGCTTCCTTTTTGGACCCACGCTTCAAGGAGATGAGGTTCCTCAGCCCCAACTTGAGGAGCGAGCTACACCAACGAGTCAAAAATCTGCTGTCCCAGCTTTTCCACCAGCAATCCCCATCTGCTCCTCAATTTTGGGTGCCAAACTCAGATCACAAAGCTGAGGGTGGAGACACGGGCAGCCAGTTACCTGCTCACAAGGATAGATGCTCCAGTAGCACCTTACAGAGCATCTACGACCTCCTTTTGGGGAAAGATCCGACGGAAAGCATGCCAGAAATCCACCAACAACTGGAAAATTACATCGTGGAGCCTCTTTGCAAGCGCAGCACCAACCCTTTGGACTGGTGGAAGAACAATGAGCATCGCTTCCCGGCCGTGGCACGGCTGAGCC